CAATACAAGTTTTGCAAAATAAAATTTTAAGATGTATGACATTTTCAGAAAAAACTCACATAACCAATTTTCAGCTGTATCGACAGTTTAATATCTTACAGCTGTGTGAAATGCATACACATTTGAATGAAAATGGCCTTGTTCCCATTGCTTTCCAACACTATTTCACTAGGCTACAAGATGTACATAAATACACCACTAGGTCCCAATAATAGGTCATATTTTACCCCTCATGTAGCCACGGAGTTTGAAAAAAAAAAAACTGGAATATAGCGGTGTTCAGGTCTGGGGCATTGTACCACCTGACATCAAAAATTGTTCAGCATATACTTTCAATAAAAATATGAAAAAATTCTTGTTATCCAAGTACCCTGATCCGTATACTTCTGTTTAATATACTGTAATTGCCGTTTTATGCTGCTAAAAGTTATTGTGTAATAAATGATGAACTGCATATTAATTGCATATCTAGTTGGTAGGCTTGCACGTAATTTACGGATTTACGGAATTACGTAATTATTTGGAGTTACGGAAGGAAAGTTACGAATTACGTAAAGTCGTAATTATTGCATTGAAACGAGCTTTCTTCAAAGCAGTCAATTTCGTCGATTGCGAAAAATGAAAGCTCAACAAGTAGAAGAAGTTAGAGTTCCGGTATTCGCAGCCGTTTTTCTCACTTCTCTCTCTCTTGTTAGGTAGGTGAAGGAAGTCATGACGCGTTGCCATTTACTAACCTATTATCAACTTCTCTGGCATGGCCAATGTAAATTATTAACGTAGTTAAGGGGGAAGAATGAGTAGGGCCGTTTGACGCCAACACACCTGGTTTTTAACTTCTCCCGTAACTTAACCGTAGATAAGGGATAGAATTGCGTTGAGACCGATTGACGCCAACACACCTGGTTTCAACTTCTCTCGCATCTTATCTAGCATGGCCATGGCCAATGTACATAATAACCGTAGATAGGGGGAAGAATTGTGTTAAGACCGATGGACGCTAACACGCCCGGTTTCAACTTCTTCGGGTGAAATGACTAATGAACGCAGGAGATCAATCTTTCAAACATGGTCTATCAAACATTTGTATCCATTTTACTTTTATTTATTATTTACTTGTTCCAGTTTTCCGTTACTTATGGTATATATGTTCCGTTTCTATTTTATAGTCACGCGTTTAAATAGTGGGAATTCCCCACCAAGTGTGGATTAGCAATGCTTAACCATTCTTTATTGTTAATATCAACACTTGATATATGAACATGGAATATCATACTGTTTTTGGCTGTTTTATTTCAGACTTGGGGTATAAACAGGAAAATATCCATAACCTTTCAACACGACGATCTTGTGAAATTTAACGAAGAGCTTTCGCGACGAATTGGAACCAAATAAGCGAAAAGAGCGATTGATCACTCGCGCCAATACCTCGCCGTGATAATTAATGTCGCGCTTATCAAATAGCAATATGACGACAAAAGAGAGATTGCGTAATGAACCAACGCAACTTCGTCTTCTCGGCATCGGTAAAGCGATTGAGACGGCAGAGAAACAGCAAAACGACGGATTCCTCGCGGACCGCTAAAAATTTAACTGCTATCATATATAATCAAATATGAGCCAGTGTGTTTATTCTGTGCGAGATCCATTTTCTATTACAAAATCTTGATGTTCTGTTAACGGTTTTATCGTTATATATCAGTCCGGACTTGGCCTTGCTCATGATGTTTTTCACAATTCCTCTCAATATTTCGGCCATATATGATTAACTGTCTTACCAAATGCGGCAACTTATTTTGATTTATCGTCGACTTGAATACCACCGGCACTCGACCAAACTTGTGTCAATCTTGGCCGATAGGATCGCCGACTTGAGTTAGCAAATAAATGTCGTGAGTGTAAAATAAATGTCACAAAATGCATTGTTTTGCGATATAACTTTGTATTTTCGGAGAAGGCATATCATATAAGTTCCATATTTAAATTATACTCAAATAAATAATATTTGATCTAAATTTATCGCAAATAATGTTATAAACATTCAGTCCGCGAAATGATTAAATGTAAAATGAAGCATGGTAATCGGAATATCGTCAATAAGTCGACATCAATAATTATTATTATAAAATGCTAACAAGGCAGTAATGTCGGATAATGCAGAAGACGCTGCAAAAACAAGTCTTCGTCGCGAGGAAATCGCAAGTATAATCAAACGAGAGAATACGCTCGTCGTTGGTTAATAAATTAGAAACCCGTAATTTTTATTCAGTACTAAGGTGGTTTTAAAAAACTATCGTTTTCATAAATATCCGTATACCAGTGTCGGTAATGATAAAATAAAATTGATCGCATAAAAATGGGACGGTTAATTTGCGAAGGTGATAAAGGAAAACCAAAGCTAACACAAAAGATAAAAATCAGAATAAAATTAATTTGAATTCACTCCTTGATATTTGTCTTTAACATCTGCCGCGGCGTGTAGTACTGCCAAGAATATGAAAACCCAACTTCAATGTCCCCTTCGGAAAAGAAGTGGATTCAATTGGTTGTTATGATAGGTTTAAATGTGTGGAAAAATATCGCAGTTACGGGGTCATTACGTAATTGATTTTGCCGTAATTACGGAATTGATTTTTGTCAATTACGTGCAAGCCTACTAGTTGGGCATACTTAAATGTGGAACACGCATTAATATTCCATTTCTATTTCAAGTATTTATGAATGTTGGTGATTGTCACTGTGTTTTCCAAGCTTCCGTCTCGTAAATTAATTTAATATCCTTTTCATATTGTTAAAAATCACTGTATAAGAAGTGACGAAATGAACATTTAAGGGTGGATCATACATTGATACTCCATTTCTAATTCAAGTATTTATAAATCGTTATGAATGTTGGTAGCCACTATACAGTATTCAGTGATTGTCACTGTGTTTTTCCATGCTTTCATTTCATAAATTAATTTACCTAATACCCTTTTTATATTGTTGAAATTCATTTTGTAATAAATGAACAGCATATATAATTGGGGGCCATACATTAATATTCTAGTTCTATTTCAAGTACCCTTGGTATGAATACTTGTGAATGTTGTTAGCCTCTTTGTAAATTAATTTATTAACCTATTTACATGTTAAACTAATTATGTAATAAGTGATGAACTGCATTATCAATAGCATATTTAATTGTGAATCATACATTGATACTCCATTTCTAATTCATATTTTTATAAATCTTTATGAATGTTGGTAGCCACCATACAGTATTCAGTGATTGTCACTGTGTTTATCCATGCTTTCATTCCGTAAATTAATTTACCTTAATAACCTTTTTATATTGTTAAGATTAATTTTGTAACAAATGAACTGCATATATAATTGTGGGCCATACATTAATATTCTAGTTCTCTTTCAAGTACCCTTGGTATGAATATTTGTAAATGTTGTTAGCCTCTTTGTAAATTATTTAATTTATTAACCTATTTACATGTTAAACTAATTATATAATAAGTGATGAACTGCATTATCAATAACATATTTAATTGTGGATCATACATTGATACTCCATTTCTAATTCATATTTTTAAAAATCTTTATGAATGTTGGTAGCCACCATACAGTATTCAGTGATTGTCACTGTGTTTTTCCATGCTTTCATTTCGTAAATTAATTTACCTAATAACCTTTTTATTCAATTCAAAAATCTTGCTGCATACGAACACAAATATATTTCTGTAACGTTTCGTCTGACCGAGGTCAGACTTCTTCAGACAAGCATTTCACAACTATAACAAGAAACGCATTTGCATGCACATAAATATTGGTTTCTCTTGCTACAGCATCCTTGCGTAATACGCATACGGATCCACCTGCGCAAAGGCATAGAGAGCAAGGAAAGGTAGTTAGTTTCACGCAACCTCAACTGTTAGTCACGTTTGTTTCTTCGTGAGACTTTTGTATCCACAATGGATCCTATCAACTCCGAACTCAACAACTACTACAAGAAACAAATCTACAAACATCACAAAAAGGACTTCAACAAATTGAAGAAAATTACACTAAAAGAAACCAGACTACTACACCACAAGCTGAGCCTAGAACACTTCATAGCAACAGGGACATTCCCGAAAGGTCTCCAATTTACCTATAAACTCCTGTGTCACTCCGTTGAAAAACTTGACAAAATGGCAGAACTTACATAAGGAATTCTCCAAACAACTGACGAAACAAGCCCTTAAAGAATGCAATTCTAGTTTAAAAGAGGCAACCAGTAACAAGCTACAAACAGAACGAAACCTTCAAACAAAAATGAAAGAAGATACTTGGAATTCCATCCGATTTATGATTGATATTTCGAGAACTAATTTAACTGCAAAACTCAATAACACAAGAATGAAAAAAATGAGCAAAACAACTGCAACAAAAATAAATAACAAAGAATCGGCCCATTTCAATGAGACCAAAACCAAACCAAAAAGAAATAGAAGATTCAATAGAAAGCAGAAACGACGCAAGAAAGAGGAAATCGCGACAAAGAATACTACATTATACAATCTTTCTAATATCCCGCTAACCGAGCCGCAAATTAAAGTGTTGGAAAAAGGCCTAGGTTTTAGTCCCACCCCCGAAAGATTTGATAACTTCCAACTACAAGCTGATATTGATAAAACTATTCGTAACTACCGCCTAAGAGAATACTTCTTTGATTGGTCAACTACAGAAAGCACAAGCGAATTGGCTCGAACTTACCCAAAGTCGTTACAGATCCCAAGCAAATGGACACCCCCCACGGGGAGAAATTCAGATCTGGACCACTTTGCCAACACCCTGAAACGAGAAACTAACAAAGGAGCAATAAAAAACGCACGTTTTCAAACCTCAAAAAAGACGAAGTCCAGGCTTTGAAAGAACTCGAACAAAAAGCAGCAAGAGATATTGTTATCGTACCTGCTGACAAAGGTGGGGGCACCCGCATTCTCTCTAGATCAGATTATATCACTGAAGGCATGCGACATCTTGCAGACAGTCTGGTCTACGAATACAATCCTAAAGACATCTCTAAACAAATTGGAAATAAAGTGACTAAATTATGTTATAATATGAAAGAAGCCGGCGTCATATATGATAAACTGTTTAAAGCGATGATTCCAAAAAAACCCAAACCAGGCCGTTTACGCTTACAGCCAAAAATCCACAAGGAAAATCATCCCAGTCGCCCAATTATCTCAGCAAATGGAACAGCAACAGAAAAACTCTCGGCATATATCGATCACAAGTTAACTGACCTCATGTGCAAAGAAATAATACCGTCGTATGTCAGAGACAGCATGGACTTCCTCAATATTTTGAAAACAATCGGCAATGTTCCCTCAGGATCCCTTCTAGTAACCATTGATGTGACATCATTATATACAAATATTCCACATGTAGATGGCATCTCAGCAGTTGAAAAGTATCTTAAAAAGCACAGTAACGACAAACGCGAAATTCCGTGGATCAAAGAAGCAGTAAATATGGTTCTGAACAACAACAATTTTGTATTCAATGACAATCATTACCTCCAAATCAACGGAACAGCAATGGGAACCAAAATGGCGCCTAAATATGCCAACACATTCATGGCAAATTTAGAATCAAAGATGCTACAAACAGCCAAGATCAAACCGCTCTACTACTTCAGATATATCGACGACTGTTTTCTGATATGGACACACGGCGAAACCGAGCTCAAAGATTTCCTAAACCATGCAAATTCAATACACCCCACCATTAAATTTACTTTCGATTATTCAACGGAAAACATAGCCTTTCTAGACATAAAAGTTCATATAATAGACAACAAATTAGAAACTGAAATTTCACCAAAGAAACGGACTCTCACCAATACCTCCTACCCTCCTCGTGCCACCCTAAGCACGTTACTGCAAACATTCCGAAGGGACTATTTATACGCATAAGAAGAACATGTTCAACGGAAGAATTCTTCACCAAGCATGCAGAAATTATGAAAAGCTACCTGATAAAAAGAAATTACAAACAAACCTCGATTGACAAAACAATAGACATGGTAAAAGAAATAACTAGAGATTCACTGTTAACACCGAAAAGAAAACACAATGATCAACAACTATTGCCATTCGTTACTAATTACCATCCTAATCAACCAAACTTCGGAAACATTTTCTCTAAATATCAATACATACTAGACAACAACGAAAGACTGAGAAACATCTTCCCGGCACCCCCCAAAATTGCATACAGAAAGTGCCCAACATTACGGGACAGACTAGTTCGGGCCAAGTTGAAACCGGAATCATCAAGAGAAGTAAAATCAGGCTTCTATAAATGCAACAGGAAATCATGCTCAACCTGCAAATATTCAGAGGAAACTAAAACAAGCACTAGCAGCGTCACAAGACTTCAAATGAACATCAATCAAAGAATAACGTGCAATTCAGAAAATGTCATATACCTGATAACCTGTAGAAAATGTGGCATGCAGTACGTCGGTGAAACAGGCAGACATTTAAAATACAGAATTACAGAACACATTAGAAGCATCAATCAAAAAAACAAAGATCTTGCAGTTGGCAAACATTTCAATCAATCAGGCCATTCCATCAACGACTTTCTGGTAATTGGAATAGAAAAACTACATCGAGATCAAGTATACCGGCAAACGAAAGAAACCTATTTTATTAACAAATTCAAAACATTAGAACCTCTAGGGATGAATTTAAGAGATGGATAAATTCACAATTTATGCTAATTTGAACATTACATCTCATTGTCACTTACACTTGATTTCTATTTCGCGGTTTAAGTCATATCCTTACATTGCAGCCTTGACCCTCAAATGAACTTAGGAGATACCACAGTCGGAGTTACGGGATAACAGCATGAAATTGTTTAATTTTCTTTTTAATTGTCACTCACTACACTGTGGGGTATCTATTGATTTCAAATCAAATTTAGCTTCCCTATTGTTCTGGCACTGTCCCAATTTTATTTATATCTCTCTATCGCAAACAGACCCAACATTTGAAACCAATATTTATGTGCATGCAATTGCGTTTCTTGTTATAGTTGTAAAATGCTTGTCTGAAGAAGTATGTATAAATACTTATGAATGCTGGTAGCAATTAAACAATATTCATCGATTGTTATTATTTTTCCCCTGCTTCTTCATGTGAACTAATTAAGGTGCCAAAAAGGAGTCAAATGATACTTTTACGTCATGCACTCCATTACTGAATCTGTGATGATATTATTTTCTTGTCGTCCTATCTTTCAATTTTGATCTCGGTCTGTGTCCCAATAGAAAAAAAGCTTTTTTTTAAATCTTTGACTGTTTTATTCTTTCATTGGACATGATCGGTTACAACGGTACATGACCTCTCAAAATCCTAAATTGCCCTTTGATACATTTAACAATATGAAACTTTAAATTGCCGACTCATTCACTCATTTCTTTATCTTATATATATTTTATTTAATCCATTTGCATTTACCCATGGTACTATATTATGCCCATGATAACCTTATATACAGCATTTACAAAAGGGTCGGGAGCCTAGATGACCTCAATCGGTCCTGACACCGACCCGCACAAAACAATTAATCAATTGCTGTTTATTACTGATGAAATATTTATCTTCATTATATTATTATCTATTATTGTTTATATTAGTGTTGATTTTGTTTTTGTGGCAATAAATCTCACTCTCTCTATCACAGGTATTTCTAGATAATTTTTTGTTACTGCATTTAAAATAAAACTCCGACAGAGCAAAATGATTATTGAGTTATTTAATTAGGACTATATTTACCAACCACTACTAAAAACTAATAAATATCCCGCGAAAATCGCCATAATATTCACAGCCACGAAAGACTGTCTTAATGGCAAAAGTATCTGAGGCGCTTCTGGAAACGTTTATTGTTACGTCAAATTTTGCACTTTTGCTGATTGGCCAATGTTACGGCAATAAATAAGGATCTGTATACTCGGGGAAACACCATAAATATAATCAGAGATTTATAAAGTTGTTATACATAAATACGCTACACTAACGCGATGCTCATATTTATGGCAAATTTAAATTGTTTTGCGACCCAGAGCGGAGAGCTTCGCGACCCCGTCGTTGAGGACCCCTGTCTAGCATACGTTTTTCAATAATTTTATTTGTCTCCTTTTTTGCGTGATATATTTAACCTTAAGTTGAGAAAACGTTTTAAAATTGTAAAAGCGATATTGTGGCAAGTGGGAAATTATATTTCAAGCAACTTTATCTGTCAGAGAGGTAACAGGCGAACATGTATTATGAAAAGCATTAATATTGGCGCGAAATATACTTTATTACTTCGCGCAAAAATACGATTGCTTTTTTGGATGGGTGGCATAAATATTGGGTAAAACTATCAATTTTCAAATATTTATCATGTGTGTAATACCGAAAAAGAGAACGATTGCGGGCATTCATCGGGATTGACACTTTCCATAGAAACAAAATAAAAAATTTGAACCCCGTGTCTTTATAGGGTTCCCCCGGAAACATCAAGGCTAATTGTTTCACTGTTGGATATCGATAAAATTACAATTGGGTTTTATCAACGAGAACGTAGAAGACACGATGGCGTCGCTAGAACACCTAGTAAATATTTTACATTTTCCGACGCAAAAAATTCGAAATATCCTGCCAATAATAAGTTAATAAGGGCTGCACACCAGTCGCGGCGGCTGGTTTTTGAATTTTTGTACCTTATAATGTACATGCTTCGATGAAATTCATTAGGCCGCACAATGTGCTAGCCATGAGATTGTTTACATTCTATAATTTTTGGAGCAACTGTTTGCAACAGCTCGGTTAAATTAAGAAAATTCATTTCACCAGCTTCTGGATGATTAATGTAGAACGCAGGCTTACACTTCGGCATGGAGTGAACAGGTATCATATACCGTTCAAATAGTACCTGATATAAAAGTATGCATTAGGTTAATGACGTTTCACACTTGCGAAGGAAAGCGATATGTATTTGCATTACTGAACGTTGCGACGTAATTGCGTAACGAAGTAATTAGGGAACGTTGTTGTTTAACTCAAGTTGGCGCAGTGGACATGTCAAGAATTGGAGAACATTGAATGAAATAACTTATACAATTTTACTTTAACCGGTGCACGATAAATTCTATCTAATGTCGAAGCTATCTTTAACCTATGCAAATGTATCGATGTCATATTAGGTTAAAACAAGAACAAATCTAAGTTTTTTGTTATTAATTCAGAAGCTTTTCAAATAAATTTCACGCTTTTTTAATTTTACCGATTTTGTATGATAATCGCGACATTTTATCTCCATCTCACAATTATAATTAGTCTCCTAGATTGTCTCTCAACAATATAAAACTTATCTGCATAAAGTATAAGGTTCGTGAGATATGAGGTTTCAAAGTTGCATAACTCACACGGGATGATAAGATAACTATCGCAACTTTCACGAAACTGCACGATACCAGTATGATTCCACGAGGCAAATAGCAAAAGAAAACAATGAAATTACCCGAATAAATGCAAAACAGTAAAAATCTTTAAACAAATTGACGAACGATTCCTTCTGACGAAGCTAAAACAAACTGACGCTGCCGCGTTTTCCTCATTCGCTGGACACAAAATGGCGTCCGACATGCATCATTGCACTTAGTGTCTCCACTTGGTTTATAGTCACTTTGACTCATGTGAAATCATACCATAGTTAGCTTGATATAGTTCGCTCACGTTTTCTCGCCTTTGTTTATTTATGTTACACAGTTCTCTCGTTGCGCTTGAGGGATGCGTCATGGTATTCTCTCAACGCGATATATGGCGCGAGTAGTCCTCGGCTATCTGGCTGTAGTCGATGTCTAATCATTGATACCTTTACAATGGATCAAAATGAACATTGTCTTACCATTGTTATGCTGCAGATAGTAAACGCTTGACTGATCTTCTGTTCCGACGCATTTCTTGTAGGCGAATGCATGGGAATTACTGGGTGAAGAGACAACCATACTTTGTAAAAATCTAATGTTTTAAAGCACGATTGGTGGGATATTTGGTAGTAATAGAACGTTTGTAACTTCAGCTCAATTATTTGACTAATGGGGATCTTGATAAAAATAGGTGATCGTAAAAATCGATTGATTCTTAGAGGATGGATTCCCCTATAATTTCCGTGTATGAAGGCTTGCGAAATACTTATCAAAATGTCATAAAAAAAAGGGTCGATTAGACTCGCGTTACAATACACACTTTCAGTGGCACAGCCAAGATTTCCAAAGCGGTCTGGAGATCAGAATTCGGAAATTTACATGAATGGGTCCTAAAACATTCGCCGAATTACGCCACTCGTAAAAATAGTTGGATCTTTTCAGATTTTCAACATACAGAAGGCCGAAAATTTGAATACCGCGTGTAGAGTTATTTGAGATTGATTTAATGCAGTGCTTGAATCAGGGATGTCCAATTCGAATGTAATATTCGAATATCGCGACCTTCGAATATCGTTTTTTTTTCGAGTTTATAAGCGCACATATCCTAGCGCGCGGTCCACGTTCCGATTGAAAACATTTTACAATTACTTCATTTTTATCGTAATCGAGGCAGCCGTGTGCGCACGGCAATAAATTACAGCCACCTGAAAAGATTTCGAAGAGAATTAGCGCTGACTCGAATTGCTTATAATACGTCGAGGACGTTTTTGATTGAAAATATTTTACGAATAATATATATACGAAATTATTATCGTATATTTAAATTTAGTCGAGATATTTTATTCTAAAAGCAAATTATGTCGGGTTAACTCATTTGACGGCGCCCCAGAATTATGTGCACCAAGATGGCGGACACCGGAACGTAGTATGTGTACCAGGTTAGAGTTAAGCCACAATTTTATTCCAAATTTCCCTATTTTTGTTCCA